TGTGTTTTGTTTTGGTTTCGTTTTTTTTCTGAAACTGGACAAGCTAAGTCCTCAGAGGCTCGTCTCACCTTGGCGAGAAGAAAATGACCCACTATGATGAAAGACCAGCGTGTCACATTTATTTAATTTTCCAAACAAGAGAAAACACCAACCCCACACTCTTACAACACTTTCCCTGATGGCAGAGCGTGGGTCTTGCCCAGGGTGCTTTTTAGATATCCAGGCTTCTTGCTCTTCCTTTGCGAAATGGGTCTGCAGCCAAATGCAGGTGCTGCCCACCTGTGCTGGGCTGTCCATGCAGGAGCGGCTAGGCTGACGCTAACGGTCTCATTTCTTCTCCAACCATCAGGTCGCTTGGTTGATGCTCTCAAGAACTACGAGGTGATCTTCTACCTGGCGGGCTCAGAGGTTGTGCTCTCCGCGCTCTTCCTGGCCACGGCTACCTACTGCTGCCTGAACCGAGGGAAGAAGAAGGAGCCTCCTGCAGAGAAGAACCCCTCCGCAGGCGGCGGGAGTGACACCGAGGAAGCAGAGTCCGACATACAGGAAGCTGACGAGCACAACAGCGGCAACCACCAGCGGGCCCACAACACCGACAACACTGTGGTGGCAGCCAGCGAGGAGGCCAACCATGTGGCAGAGGAGCAGAGCGGGGAGGGAGGCGGGTGTCCCAAGGGGGGCGGGGAGGTGTTGACACGAGATGGCTGCAACACTGACCAGACGGTGGAGAGGGACAGGTTTTAGCCAGGGCAAAGGAACGGGGATGTATAAAACTGGCCTTGTTTGCACGCACCTCAGCGTGGGAGGGTAGGTGGGATATGGGGTGGAGAAACTTCAGACAAAAGCAGATGTAAGAAGTAAGAGGGAGAGGTATAAAAATAGCTGGTCCTTATGTACATATGTCCACATACCTACCCAGTGATACGTCTACTTGCATCCTGCACCCGTGCTGGTACCACACAGGCTCAGAGCAGCCCAAACACCAAAAAGAAAAAAAAAAAATCTTCTTTCCTCACTTCCAAACCAGCCCTGCAGAAAGTCTTTTGAAGAGGCTGCCAAGGATTCTCCTTTTCCTTCTGCATTGTCACAATACAGAACACAAATAGAGACTCTTTGTAATCAGATCTGGTACGCTTTGGTCTGGTGTCCATGTTTCCTCTGCCCCACTTCCACAGTCGGGATAGCACCAAGCAAGCAGGCAGTAGGCTTAGGAGGTGTTGTAATTCACGGGCCAGGTCACCCAGGCCACCTCCAGCTGCAGCCAGCATGGGGTTTCCCTGCAAAGCCTGCCTTGGGCACTGCCAAACCGGTGGGACACCGGCTCCAACCACCTCCGTCTGGAGCATCTTTTGTGGGCGGTCAAGCTGGGGCAGTGACACATGATGCTGCTTTTTCAAGGAGGGGAGTGCTGGGTTAGAGGCTGCTGCTGCTGAGGTGCAGGAAGGAGACATCTAAGAAAGACTAATTGCATTAGATGAGTAGCCGTGACATGGAGCCCTGCCGACAGGAATAGCAGCAAGCCAGCTTTATCTAGGCTGGAGTGAGTCCTGTTGACGCGTGAAGGGAACAACTTGGCTTCTGTGGGGGTGGGGGTTTCAGGACAGGTAAAT